GGTCTCAGTAGATAGATGACATACTGCTGAATTGTTGGCCCAGAATTTTGAGGAAGGAGAGTGACTGGTAAGAGGTGACACAATAGAGGGTCACGGGGGGGACTAGGAGCAAAGACTATTTCATACTTACATGTGTGAAATTTCATAATGGAACTCATTCTGTATGACAACGAAAAACTAATAAACTCTTAGAAAATGTGTTTTTAAGAAAAGGTTCCAAGCCTTGGTCCAGGCCGTGGCTCTGGCACTCTGTACTCCTGTGAGTCTGCACACATCACTCCACTTCTCTAGTTTTGCTGCTCATCGTCGGGGGCTTGGACCATAAGGCACCCATCCTCAAGTCCTTCCTTTGACCTCAAACATAAAAGAGGGGGCAGACAGTCTCGACATCTTCCCTGGTGATTGTGAAATTGAGATGAGAAATTAGGAACAGCACTGTTTCCAGTGATGGATTCTGGAACCCATGAGGCTTGTTAATGATTCCATTTTCATTAACAGCTAACCCCAGAGCCAGCATTCTACTGTAGCCTGTGGAATTGCTGGCTGGCTGCCAGCTCTGTGGTCCCATAGGAGAGCCAGCTTAAAGGAAGAGTCCCAGCAGGCCTGACTCCAGGGAGGGATGAGGCTTTAATGAGTCACGGCTCAGCTCCTCTCTGGCTCTTTCTACAAGTCCAGGGGTGACGGCTCCACAGAAGATCACTGGGTAGACCAGATTGGTCAGGTGAGTTGACTTGGGGATGGGGGATCCAGAAGTCGGCAAAGGCTAAGATAGAGGAGAAAGTTGAGGACACTGAGAACTTGTAGGGCCATGGTGCAGTCTGGAGACACCCACCTAATGTGTGGATATCCTGGTCCTAGGAGGCATGTCAGCTGTGTGCCTGGTCTACATGACCCTCCCTGGATCAGATGCTAGGGCAGGCCAGTTAATAGTGTGCATCTGTAGATGACTAAAGGTCTGGGAGGAGGGACTTGCCAGGAGACAAAGGGACCTGGAGGTACTTAATGGAAGCCCTTTGAACTCTCAGAGTCAAGGTGGAGGAACTTCAGGTCAGGGAGGGAAAGAGGAAAATGGCGGAGCCAGAATGGAAACCAGGTCTAAGTCGTATGCTAACTGATTTACATTCTGTGCTTCACACACATATACCTTTCCTGTGGGAACAGCACAATCAGAGCCTGTGAGAGCACGTGTGGGTTTCAGCTTATAGCAAATTAATGCCCCAGTGCCTGAAGAATCAGACTGCTTAAAAATAGAGCCCTGCCTGGGTAGCTCTGGCTCTGTTAATAAAGCACTTGAAGTGTAAGTATAAGGACCCAAGTCCAAATCCCCAGAAGTCACATAAAAACAGGACATGGTAGTGCCCAGCTATAATCCCAGCACTAGTGGAGGGCAGGACAGGTGGATCCCTGGCCAGCCAGTGCAGCTCCAGATCAGTGAGAGACCCTTCCTCACAAAAGAGAGGAGAGAGGTTGGGGACAGCACTCAACATTGAACTCTGGTCTCCACAAGTGCATCCACAAACACACACACACACACACACACACACACACACACACACACACACTCAATAACTGGGGGAGTTCTTGACGTACATCTTTAGGGGCTTGGGCTGTGAGATAGTCACCTCTAAACCCCCTTTCAGCCAGATGCACAGAGGACCTTAACGATGCTTATTGAATTGGAGAAGGTCATCTTTTCTAAACATTTATTTTACAGATGTGAAGACTGAGCCCAGAGGCTCAAAGACAGGAAATAAGGTAGAAGGCTGGCCCAGCAGCCAAGACGCTTGGTTGCCAGGTGGGTTCAGATCTTTGTGACTGGGTGGCTAAAGAAACAACCTCTCTGGATGTGGCTTTGGATGAGGGCCTGACCTCTTCTGACTCCTGGTCCCTTCTTTTGCTGGGGAAGCATAAGCAGTCCCCAGCAGGACTGTGTGGGTAGGGATGCGGTCCGTGGAGCGCAGCATCAGCCTGGATATTTGGACGACTTGTTTCCTCTCTTCCCCTCTCTGGCTTACTAATGAACTATTAGAGAATTTCAGCAGAGAAAACCCTACCAAAGAGATGGCCCTTCATAGCTTTAGTAGCCTGAAGCACCCAAAACACCTATGGAACGTGTAATTCAGAATAAAATCACTTACTCTTGAGTTACAGAATAAAGGTAAAAAGGGATCTGATGCTATAACGGTATGAGGATGCTTTCTAAAATATGATACCAAGTGCCAGATTCTTTCAGAAGCCTTTTCAGGCTCCTCTTTGGCTAGACCTCCCAGACCTTGTGAGCTCCACTGGAACAGCAGCTTAGGGGAGCAAACACTTCCAGTGCTTTTGGGGTAAGCACAAAAGCCTCAACTCATTAGGCTGCTCAGTGGTCCCCGTTCATAGGCTCACTGCAGACTTATCTATCCCAGGCTCAAAGGGAGGGGCCAACCACTAAGACCTGCTGCTAGTCCATTTCTAATACTCATAGTCCATTTCCCCTGTCATCTTGAGACAACAACAGTCCATTTCCAAGCCCCATTCTTTGTCCCCTTCCATATAATGAGAGGGTTGAGTTAAACCAATTTGAATGATTTCATTACTGACTGCTCCTTTGTCACTGTTTCATGATGACCAGCAAAGTGGGTCAAGTTGAAGAAGCTACATGGTGGCTCCTGGGAGGGGCTGGGGTACCGTGGGCAGTAGAAACATTCACTGCCACCCTGAAAGTGCTCCACAGTCACACCACTAATTTGATGGTGATGAAGGGGGACTTTGTGAGCCCCGAGCCAAGCAGAACTGGGGACAGCTTCTTGGAGAAGGTGACATCTGAGATAGTGTCACAGAAGTATGGGTCAAGAGAAAGGGCTTGTGGGTGGCATAAATATAGATGAGGCATTTGGGGCTCAAGACCTGTTCTCCTTTTCTGGCCTTGAGCCTCAACACGGGCCTCTATCACTGTTTAATAGAGGCTTTGAGCTTCTGTCTTTTGAAACACAACTTGACCTAATACCATGACACTGGATACACAGTTGACTGCTTTGAGTTTTCAAGGCATTTGGGGAAATGCAGTTTGTATCTCTTCAGTGTTAGGGAATCAGGTGACAGGCTTCACTCCATGCTTACAGAGACAAACAGTTGTTCTCTGAAACACAATAATCAACCAATGAAATGGCACTGTTGGCCACAGGAATAGAGAAAGTAGGGAATCCATCCCTCCTCTCAAGACTTCTGGGCTTCCAGACTCCCCAAGGAGAGAAAGACAAAACACAGGGTCAATGGGTTGAGGTTTAGGCTCATTCCTACCTCTGTGGATGGCAGTCCCTGTTAACTTGAATCAGACCTGGACCTATTCATCAAGTTCTTAATTTCAAATATTGCACACTTTAGTTCTGGGATATTTCAAATAGATTCCAAGTTTCTGTGGAAATTCTCTATTTTTAATCCTTTTTACAGTTTCCTCTATAAAACATAAAAATTCATACTAATGCCCTTGTTTACTCATTTAGGTATCTAGACTTTTAAAATTAACTTACTTTTACATTTTACTTGATTTTATTTTGCAATATTGGGAATTGAACCTGGGGCCTTATACATGCTAGGTAAATGTTCTGTGGTAGAGAGGCTTGTACATCCTTGGCCTGAGATCATTTGTATGTCATTTATAATGTTCTTTCCCTCTTGGTCATTTTTTCCTGACTTTGCAATATAATAATATTTTTGTGGGCTGAGCATCATTAACAGCAGATTCATTGGACGCTTTGGACCACAGACATGTCTTACCTGTCACACTTCCCATTTCTCTCTTAAGCAGACAGTCAGGGGTTGAGCACTTCAGGCTACCTGGTAATTGAATTAGGTTTCTGGTTTCTTCAGTCCTGGAAAGAATCTAACCTTTCCTGGGGTATGGTTCTCTGTCTCCTCAGTGATGCCTGTGGGAGATGTGCCGCATTCTGGAGAGTACTAGTAAGGCCTTAGTCCTTCTCACCTATCTCCACACCCTGCCTTCACACGCATGCACAGTTTCAAGTCTTTGGGAAATGTTGAGAGAAGGGCAGTGTATATGTGAGGGGAAAGCCCTCCCCTCTGGCCTTTTAAGTATCAGTGTCCCCTGGGGAGATCTTTGTCCTTTAGAAGAACGGTAAAAAATAAAACAAAACAAAACAAAAACAAAACAAAACAAAGCAACATAGCCCTCCATCCTCTTCTGCGCAGTCCACAGAATTCAGATGAGTCTGGAAAAGATTAGTCCTACATTCAGGGTACTTTAACTGTCTAATCCACTTTGCAAGCCTCTTTTGACTGACAAAAGCTTGCTAGGTTCTCTCATACCCAAGTTTCTCTGCCTAGTTTCAGCCATCCCCATGATTGTCACCAAATCAAATACTCTCTGAGGGGGAAAAATGATTGTATATTCACTCTGGAAGGTCCTCCAGCCTGTGGAAGTCCAACTCATCCCACCCTTATTGAGTCTGTGCTTCTTCAGTTTGATTTTTAGAATGTGGTGGTACATGCCTGTAATCTCAGGCCTTGGTAGGCCAAGGCAGAAGGATCAGGAATTCAAGATCAGCCTCAGGTACAAGGTGAATGCAAATCCGGGTACATGAGACCCTGTCTCAACAAAATGATGACTTAGGTAATTTATCCAGACTTTCCTAGTTGTTACAGTTGGGTGGGTGCTGGACTGCCATGGCCAACCACACCTTGTTAGGAAGCAGAGGCCAGGATACCCAGTTCCCATGCAGTCAAAAGAGTCCCAGGTTGAGAAGCACAAGTGAGGAAGAGGCCTGATGAGTGTGTGAACTGCAGTGTGCTACCGAGAACCTTGGACAAAGCTGTCCCTCCAAAGTCACATGCTGGAACTTTGAGTGAGTGCAAAAGTAGAGCCTGGGTTGAAGAACTTGGTGTCTGAGATCCAGCAACGTAAGTCACATAGTGTGGCATCTGAGGTAAGCCAATTCCACAGCCCACCACCAGTCCTCTGTAGCTGGTTATAAATAACAGTGCTCAGATTAATTAAGGATCAACATTATGGAATCATTACAACAGAATTCTTTCCTTCTCTGGTTTTCAGATGTCTCAGATGTCTGTGACCCAGACCACCAGCTCTGTTCTACTATGGAGGCTACAACCTGCAATGGATCGGTGGATGGCTCTACTGTCTTCTACCTGGTGGGAATCCCCTCTCTGCCAGAGCTCTTCTACCTTCCTGTCTTCTTCCTCTTCCTCCTCTTCTACCTGCTCATCCTGGTGGGGAACACCCTGATCCTGGTGGCCGTGGTGACAGAGCCCAGCCTCCACAAGCCCATGTACTTCTTCCTAATCAACCTCTCAGGCCTGGACATCCTTTTCACCACAACCACGGTCCCTAAGATGCTGTCCCTATTCCTGCTGGGAGACCACTTCCTCACCTTCCCTTCCTGCTTACTGCAGATGTATCTCTTTCAAGGCTTCACCTGCTCAGAAGCCTTCATCCTGGTGGTCATGGCCTATGACCGCTATGTGGCCATCTGCCGTCCTCTGCACTACCCTGTTCACATGACCCCACAGACAAACACTGCACTGGCAGCCAGTGCCTGGATCACTGCCCTCCTCCTGCCCATCCCAGCAGTGGCACAGACCTCCCAGATGGTATATAATAACATCGCTTATATCTACCACTGCTTCTGTGACCACCTGGCTCTGGTCCAGTCCTCCTGCTCAGACACCAGCCCCCAGACCCTCATGGGTTTCTGCATTGCCATGGTGGTGTCCTTCCTTCCCCTCCTCCTGGTGCTTCTCTCCTATGCCCGCATCCTGGCCTCAGTGCTGCGTATCAACTCCAGGGAAGGGCGTTCCAAAGCCTTCTCCACCTGCAGCTCCCACCTCCTGGTGGTGGGCACCTACTACTCATCCATTGCCATAGCCTATGTAGCCTACAGGGCTGAGCTGCCCCTGGACTTCCACATCATGGGCAATGTGGTGTATGCCATTCTCACACCAATCCTCAACCCTCTCATCTACACCCTGAGGAACAAGGATGTCAAGGCAGCCATCACCAAAATTGTTTATCTCAAAAGTATGATGTGAATGTTTGATCTCTTAATGCAGCTAACTCTACCCCCAGGACTCCATCCAGCAATGTTTATCTTAGAGAAGAAGACTCTGAGTGGTCCAGTCCTCAGAGAAGAAACTCAGTAAATATAACAGAATGGACAAATTAATGAATGCAATGATGTACAATAAAAATTCACTCAAGCAAATAGCACTAAATTCAATCTGTATAGCTTGGTTCCTGTTTTTCTTTTTCCTTTGTGCAATGTAATAAGGCTAACCTTTATTTTTATAAGACTCCGAGGTTGTATAAAAGTTTCACTACTGGATAATTCAAAAACATTCACTAAAGTAGAAAAAAATCTGCATGGCAAGAAAAAAATTCTGTATAAGCAAAGTGTATTTTAAAAATTGGAGACTTAGAACCTGGAAACAACCTAGACGCCCCTCAACCAAAGAATGGATAAAGAAAGTGTGGTGAATCTACACAATAGATTATTACCCAGTTATAAAAAATAATGACATCATGAAATTTGCAGACAAACAGCTAGAACCAGGAAAAAATCATCCTGAGTGAGGCAACACAGTTCCAGAAAGACAAACATGGTGTGTACTCGCTCATAAGTGGATATTAGGTGTCAAGTAAAGGGTAACCTGTCTACAATCCACAGACCCAGAGGGGCTAGGTAATAAGGAGGGCACAAAGAGGGACGAATGGATTTCCCCGAGAAGGAGAAATAAAAGAGATCTCCTGGGCAAACCAGGGTTGGTTGAGGGAACATGAGAGATAGGGTTGGGTAGGTTGGGGTCTGGATGGAGGGGGAGACTAATAAAAGAGATGTCTTGATAGGGAGTGCATTTCGGGGTTAGGGAGAAACCTAGTACCAGGGAAACTCCAAGGAATCCACAAGGATGTCTCCAGCTAAGACTCCTACCAATAGTGGAGAGGGTGCCTGAACTGGCCATCTCCTGTAATCAAATTGATGACTACTCTAATTATGATCCAGTAACTGATGAAAACAGATGCAGAAATCCACAGTCAAGCATTGGGCCTAGCTTCAAGAGTCCTGTTGAAGAGAGAGAAGAGGGACTGTGCCAGCCAGGGGGTCAAGGTCATGATGGGAAAACCCACAGAGACTGTTGACCTGGGCTCATGATCTGGATCAACAGCTAGGCAGCCAGCATGGGACCAGCCTAGGCCCTCTGGCATGTTTGTGACAGTTGTATAGCTTCGTCTGTTTGTAGGGCTCTTAACAGTGGGGCCAGGACATGTCCCTGGTGCTTGATTTGGCTTTTAGGAACCTATTCTCCATGCTGGGTTGTCTTGTCCAGCCTTGATGCAGAGGGAGGAGCTTGGTCCTATCTCAACTTAATATGCCATGCTTTGTTGACTCCCATGGGAGGCCTGCCCCTTTCTGAATGTAGCCAGAGGAGGAGTGGAATGGAGGGGTGGAGAAAGGGGAAAGAAGGAATGGGAGGAGAAGAAGGAGGGGAACCTGTGGTCGGGATGCAAAATAAATGAAAACATTTAATTAATAAAAAATAATTTAAAAAGAAATTCACTTAGAGAACACATAAAATAAAATAAAAATTGGAGGCTAGAGAAATAGTTCAGTGTGTAAAACACTTGCCATTCGATCATGAGGACCTGAGTTCAGGTCACCAGATTCCACATAAATTCGGTTGTGGTGGCACCCATCTGAAATCCCAGTGCCCCTACAGCAAGATGAGAAGTGGCAGCAAGAAAACACCCAGAATGACACAGACCAGCCAGCCTAGAACAAGTCACACAGGGAATAAGAGCTCCCATCTCAAGGTAGAAGGGGAGGGCTGACATGTGATGTTGTCCTCTGACCTCTGCAGGTATGTGCTACGGCATACCTGTGCTACCATCATACACAGAAACTCAAAAATGCACACAGAGTTTTAAAAAGTCTGCATGACAAAAGATATCCTGTCTATAAAAGAAAAGACATATGACTGCCCTGGGGATGTAGCTCAGCAGAAGGGCAGGAATCACCCGTTAAGCTTAGCTTTTGACACACAATGGTCATATTTAGATGCAGCAAAAACTCTACATTTGTATTAGTCACTTTTCCCATAACTGTGATCATAACGGAAGGGTGGTCGAGGGAGAGGCCTCTCAGCAGCACCTTCACTTTTTACCTTCCTGAAGGTGGTTAAAGCAAGTCCACGAACACCCAGATAAAGAATTAACAGATGTTTATTTGGGGAGCACTCACAGTTGTGAGTCTCCTTCTGGAGATTCAGCCTCTGCCCTTCAGGATCCTCCATCCACAACCCAAGAGAGCTCGAGACAGCCCCTCCTCTTCCTTATAAGGGGTCACGTTTGCACACTCTGAAGCCACACCCTAAGGTGTGGCTATTACCTTAAGTCTATTGGTGGAACAAAATGCCACTACATTTCCCTTTTTTTTTATCTAAATAAGAGGGTTTTAAATCTGATACGAAAGCTATATACAATGATAACAAATATCAAGTATAGTCCAGGAGAAAGAAAGGTAAATTACATAGTTACAGAAAAAATAAATAAAAGAACTGAGCCATCATATAAAGGCTGTGGGGTACCCACAGTTGTTCACTGTCTCTATTACTATTACCTCAGGTCTATTGTTGAAACAAGATGCCATTACACCTTTCCTTGACTGCATTGCTTGAACACTGTAACTTAGAAGGAGAGGAATCTCAGATGCTACAACATTTAGATTCTTTTTCATAGCTCCGTGCTAGTTGTGATGATTGCTGGCCAAATGAGCAACCCAAAGTCTTGGCTTTTCCAGTGAAATTAAATCCTACCCTGCCTTTAACATGGCATCTGAATGTCATGAAAGCCATGCAGTAGTTGCTGTGTGTGAGATGACAGATGTCAGTTTCCATACACAATGCAGTTATTAGAATCCATAAGAATGAATTTAAACATGCCAGAGAATTATAAACAGCAAGCCCAAGGATGTATGAGCCCTCAGGATTTTTTGATTTGGAAGGCACATTATGATCAATGTGAACTTCAGGTTGAGAGAAATTGAAACTCAGGTATAGCATTGAATATGGAGACCTTACAGGGGGAAGTAACATTTTCATCACCTGCTGAGCAGGCTTCTGGATCTCTTCAGTATTTTGACCAAGTTCATCTGTGTTCCCTAAGAACTCAGAAGGCTGTTCAGGGGACACAGCAAATTTCAAAGATTTAAGACAGGGGCCTACTGAGCCTTTTACTAAATTACTGGTGAGTACAAAGTTCCATGGAATCAAAGTACAGCAAATTGAGGCAGTTGACATACTGGTACACCAACTTGCCTTTGATGGGGTCACAGTAGAGATACAGAGGGTATTATGTCAGATAAAGAATGCCCCTCTGAATGATTGGATCCTGTCATGTCAAGAAATATATTGCCCCTGTCTCTGCAGAGGCTCTTGGAGCAGCCCTAAAGTTTAATGGCCCTTGTTGGTCCTGTTAACAAACCAAACATTTTAAGAGCAACTGCCCAATGCAGGAAAGGGTACTTCCAAAGAGCCACCTACTAAATGCCCCAGATGTCCAAAGGGCAAGCACTGGGTAAAATATAGTAAATCTAAATATGATAAGATGGACAGCCCCTGGTCCTATAAGCTCCCCCCAAGCCCTCAGCCCCACCTACAAGATGGTTGTCTTTTGTTTGTTGGTTGGTTTGTTTTTCAAGAAGGGTTTCTCTGTGTATCCCTGGCTGTCCTATATCTCATCCTGTAGACCAGGCTGACCTCAAAATCAGAGATCTGCCTGCCTCTGCCTCCCGAGCAGTGAGAGTAAAGGTGTGAGGGGGAGGTGGTCTTTCCCCAAAAGATTCTCTCAGATCAGATGGATATGAAAAGGTCACAGTCTAAGGTGTACTGGACTGTCCCATTGAGTTAGTAAAGCCCAGATGGCTACATATTGGGAAGGAAAAAGATCTAAGGGAATTACAGATACCGAAGAAGATATCTTCATTATTAGGGCAGAGGAGGTATTCACTGAATGGGTTCTAACTACATGTCCTACTGTGGAGAGTGTTGGTAGTCCTGTCATTCTAAAACACCCTTGACCTTTCTTACACGGAAGGACTCTGACAGACCCACCAGAAATGCTAAGCCTTTGACTCTTGAAGGTTTATCTAATCATCTCTGGGGAAGAGAAGTATTAGAAATGGCTGCAGCCATGCTTACCACTGATGATAAAGCCTTTTATGATGACCTAGAGACTGTGAGAAAGGAACTACCTCCTCGATTCCAATACTAAGGGCCATTGTTTCACTTCCTGAGCCCATAAAAATTCAATGGAAGAGATGAACCTGGCCTTAAGTAAAGAGAAACTGCAACAAGCTTAGGTATTAGTATAAGAACAGAAATACATGAACCAAGACTTAGTCCCTGGAACTCTATCTTCGTCATTTGAAAAAAAAAAAGCTAAAGGAAAATGGAGATTATCACATGACTTAAGACTATTAATGCACAGATGAAAAGATGAAGTCTTTAAAGCCTGATACCGAGAAGAGACCCTATTAATAAATACAGCCATGGATATCAAAGGTTGTTATCACTCTAGCCCACTGCACCAAGAGGCTAGAGAAATGTTTGGTCTTCCTGTACCTGTACAAGACAATGCAAATCCTGCTCAAAGATGGCAAGGGAGAGTATTGCCTCAGAGATGAAAACAGTTCTACTCTGTGTCAATATTATATATTTCAGGCTTTTCATCCTTTGTTAAATGACCCACCTGTCACATATATTCCTTATATGGATGACATTTTACTTGCTTATTATGATTCTAACAAATTAGGGGAAGTTTTTCAACTAGCTATGAGAAGTTTAAACAATAGAGGTCTCAGAGTTGCCTCTGACAAAAACACAGTGAATCTTGACTTTTAATTTTCTGGGATCCCTATGAATTCACACACAGTATCCGTAAACCCTCCTCAATTTAAAATACCTAATCAAATCATGTTAGGTGTTCTTCAAAAGCTATTGGGAGACATTAATTGGAATAGGTCATTTCTACAGGTCACTACTGGTGATTTGCTTCCCCTCTTTCAGACACTAGAAGGAGACCCAGACCCTTCCTCAGTGAGATTCATAGATCACAGAGCTCTATTGCTCCAGGCAAGACTAAGGAGTCACTAAATGCACTAAAACTGTTGCTATGGGATACCACAAAGGAATTGCCCATTTGATAGCTACTCATCCCC